GGGAGTCTGGAGATTTCGTGGACAATATGAAAATAAAACTGCAATAAAACTGCACGGGCCTTGATTGTGGTCTATGGAGAGACATGGAGGGCCTCCAACACGGCTAACTTTATTACTTCATCTGAAAGAGCAAGAGAGAGGGAGAGACACATCAACAGATTCAGAGACCATTACAGTCAAATCTTTTCCCCTAAGTGGCCACAGTCTCCATCTAAGGACCCCCAGCCCCTTTTCACCCAACATCCAGGGACACAGAGGGCAAACCCTCCTCAATTCAGTTTACCCAGCTTTTTATTTACACAACTAACTGTTTTTTTGGTTTACATAAATCTTTACAACATTGTTTCATGGCAGGCATCACAGTAAGTACTATTAAACTGATGGTAGTTATATAAACACTGGGGGGAAAAGAAGAATTAATGCTTTTAAGAGTAAAATGGATTCTTGTTTATGTAAGTGGTCTGTAACCTTATGATGATCACCAACTGAACAAATAATTTACCGCCATTTTCATTTACCACATCACAGCGCCCAAGTATGTTGCTCTAAGCATTCAAAATCATTTTGAGGGAGCCGTCTTTCTGGTCAGAGAGGTGGAGGGGGAGAAATGGAGACAACATTTTTGAAGTGATTAGAGCAACAGATCGCTGGAAGATGGGTGAAAAAGGCCTGACAGTTTGTAGGCCACTAAAGGAAAACGTTCTGGACTTCAATGGATATTTAACTGTAAGGGTCTCCTTATCTTCCTCATTCTCTCCCATATGAAAATACCCTATTGTAGGGTGCTGCATCTTTCTTGGCCGGAGCCACGCATCAGATCTAGGGTTTCACAGAGCATACCGGGGGACCGGCGAAACCGGAGACAATAACAACAAATATGGCCTTGTATTTTTGGGTTGTGATTATAAAGCCCATTTCACAGTTTAATACTCCAGGGAGACCAAACAAACTTAGCTGTTTAAAGAAACCAGCGTCCAGAATTGGATCAAATCTCTGCTGTTCCCAAATGTCCTCGAAAAATAAAAAGAAGAGGGCACATACTATGTCTACAGTACACAAAGAGACTGCAGCTTACCATTACAGATTCATACAAAATACAAGTAGCCTACATCTGCTGCTTATACAAAGTAACATTTCCTTTACCATACAGAAAACTAAACTAACCCTTCACCCCTATGAAACTAATTAAAGATTCACAAAATTTAAGCCATTGATACAGTATGCTTCTTTTGTATCATGATTACTATTTCATTAGACTATTATTCTGTTATTTATACTATTATCCCACAGCACAGGTTCTGAAAAAGTCTGTTCACTAATCATGAAAAACTGCTTTGAAATACATTAAAGATGAGGAAATTGATATTGTATTTAGTCCATGTATTTTTAAGTAATAGTAATAATAATAACAACAATAATAATAAAATCAGAATGTGATACAGTGTTAGCCAAATACAAGAATTATTCCCTTTTCTTTGCTGCTAGAAGTATTTAAATTGATATTTTTGATAATAAGAATTATTCTAAAATTGTAGAAAGTTATGTCTTAAATAAAAATAACAATTTAATATAGCAATAATAATAATGCTTTTTTTTCTTTTTTAAAAAATAGGTAATTTCAAAAGTATCTACACTTTTGGACTGAAGACTCTGTTGTATCTAGAATCCTGTACTAATCCATCATTTCTTGTGTACTGCCATTTTGCTATTTTATTACCATTATACTGTGCTGCCACCTGCTGAAGAAACAGAGATAGGCTTGACCTAAATGATATTTGGAATATATTGTGTTCCCAATTCCTTCAGCTTTGACATTAGAGCGACAAAAATCTGTCAGAATGGCACAGCAGATGTTTATAACAGGTGTTGCTATATAAGAAACAAAATTATGTTAGCTGATGATATACCTAGAGGTTAAATCTTGATAAATTTAAGTTACTGCCTCATCAAAACCATTTTTATTAAGCCTTTATAGTGCATTATGGGATGTTGCTATTCTCTGCAATGCCTAAACTCCATCTTCTTTTGTGTATGTGTTTTTATTGTGTCTTTTATCAAGGAGGACTAAGAGTACTTTTGTTGTTGATGCAAAATAGAAACCCGGTGAAGAGCCGGACACAAGACCCAAAAATTGGCTCATTTGAACTAAAGGAAACTATTTCCTCCATACACCCTCTGAATACTCAGCTAAAAAGGCTGTTATTTCAAATACATCATTAATATATGGTAAAACAAACTGCTGGATAGTGTTTTGTCCTTTATACAGAATCTAATCAACAGAGTGTAGTGAGACTACCTAACATAACAATTTGGTCACTTTGAGGACCACGCCACAAACGACACATACAAATGTACTGTACAAAACTCAAGGTTGACATCAGCCTTACTTATAAACTTGTCGACTCAAAATCCATTGGAGAGCATGTAGCATTTAGACCAAACAATCATTAAAACAAAAACACAACTGCACCCAGGTAAAGAACTTTTTCACAGCAGACATTTTAACTTTTCAGAGAAATAATTAATGTCATAACTCAGTAAACATACATAGCTAGTGTTACCTTCAAACTGGAAATGCACCTGTTGTGTATTTGTTACACTTGTGTGCCAGTGTTTGTTTGTGTTTTGCTAGCTAGCTACGCTCGCTTGTCTGGCCGTTTTAGCTAACAGCTGAGGAAAAAACTAATGAATGAAGTCAATAACTTGTGCCATCAAAAGTCAAAATTTACCCGAAATTTCATGTCTTGAGCCGGAGAGCAGATGTTTCACCAATGGCGGAACTATGGTCAATTATAAAAGCAGGCAAACCATAGTACGTCCGAGAGGCTAACGTGGGCCTCTTCAATACACTGTGAATAGTGAGAGTTTCACGCATGCGTAATGACTGGTGCGATTAGAATAACAAATCACAGGTGTGGTAAGCAGGCCTTGAATAGAGACAGTCGCGTCATATCCGTTCACTCTAATGGACCGTTTTTTTTTCATGGAGCGTCTCAGTAATTCCCGGAAGTTAGCAGGAAATGTCAGCAGCGCAGCGGAGTTGCAACAGAATATATCGTCTCTGATGCACGTTTAACAGGTAAAACCTTGCAGGTTTGTCACACTGTATGACTGTTGGTGGAAAGCTAACATGTCAGACTGGGTGGGTGGAGATTCACCTGTCAGAGGACAGTGGGGCGAGGTTGCTTAGGGGAGTTTACAAAAGCACTGGGTATGCACAACCAACATCCCTTTGCTCGAGACTATGGTGCCACACCAGTAAGTTGCTGGAAACTGATGTCCTTTGTTTGATATTATTTATTGTTTATTTCTTTCAAATTATGTTTACCTTCAATTAATCATTGCAGAATTTCCTGAACAAAATAAATGGTTAAACGGCTTTTGGATCCATGTGTTTAATGTGCACACCAAGCATAAGTCTCTTTATAGTCTTTTTACAATTATATTTGTAGCAACTCTCATGACCAGAAATTAGTCACCCGGTTGGGTGTGGGAGATAGACCTTGTTTGTGACGTGCTTCAATAAATGTCCAGGCAAGTTATTGTATTTAATATTTCGGTCACACAGTGCATATTGCTAAATTATATACACCATCCATATTATTTAATCCAATCACCACACATCATTCACATCATACCCTGAAAATGTGAATCTAGTTACAGCTAGAGGTGACATGAAAGAGAGAGTAGTCTATGTGGAAAGATGGCTGCACAAACAGAAGGACAAAAATTAAAAACTGAGTTCTGTACTGATCCAGGCAGAAGAGCACCTGGAGAATGATACGCTCCAGGATCAGGGGGAAAAGTCCCATCTCTTCAAGTCATGTGAACAATATCCCCCAGAAGGAGAGAGAGTGGAAAGCCAGAAGGAAAGACATGATGAATAGAACTGTCCATCTGGAGCTTCTGATGGAAGACCTCCAGAAAAAGCCTAAAAAGCTTTCCCTCTGGAAAAGATTGTTTTTTCACTTCAACAAAGACAGCAAGACAGTTTTCTATCTCTTGGTGTGACTGTGCAGTTTCAGTGTTGTACAAATGTAGTTTAACTATTTCCTCCAATCTTTGTTTTTTCATTTTGTTTCATAAAAGATTAATAAACTAAATGTTGCTTATGAGACGAGGGACAGGGAACCCTGTCAATAATTTCCCACTCTGTAATGAATGAACTAAACAATGCAGAAGCAATACAGTGGTACATATTTGTTTGTTTGTTTTAGAACTAATAGCACTGCTACAACCTAATGTAAAGTACAGTTCACTGTGTTTCTCTTTAAAACTGTTCAGGCACAACATTCATCATAACCATCTTTTGAGCACATTTCCCTGTTTGATCTCCTCCATTGAGGCATGAGAAGACACATCTTTAAGATTCCAGCTGGGTCTATCTGATATCTTGTTGATGCTGGATTTCTTCACACTGCCTGATACAGATTTTCAGTCATTGAAGGATATGCCAATTAATTAAAGTTTAATGAAATGTGAAACAGCTTTGGGTTATTATAAATAGCCTACAAATTTAATTCTAAAGAAGCTATATGCCTGATGCAATTGGCAGAAATATTGTAAAGCATGAGCGAAAAACCAAACAGCCAATTACTGTTTATGACTAATTGAATTAATATAGACTTGAGGAACATTTTCTGCTGTATCAATCTGCCAGTGTGGTTGAGAAGCAAAATCGGTTGCTGAGTGGTGTCCTGTGCACCCTCTTCCTGTGCAGGTTTGATGTCCTGTCTATTCTGAATAAGAACTGTGTTTCCTAAAAACAACACAAATATTAATACTGGCTAATAATAATAATAAGCAGGCCAATATGGATGACAGGTAAAAAGTTTTATTGCATCATATAAAATCAATGTTAATTGTGCACTTTAATTTCTTACTCAAAACCTCTATATTGTAGTCCTCTGTAGTCCATTGGCGGAACTAGCCTACAAATCCCGACGTGCATTTCGCCTATTGCCATAGCAGCGGGAAATTGGTTTGAGTCGGTCTCAATCATGGACAGCCCGAGTCGAGTGTTTGCTGCAGTACTACCGGTTTCGGGTCGTGAGTTCAACGGTAATGAAAGGGAGCAGGGGCTGGAAGTACGAACAGTTAACCGACAGGGTCCCGGCAACCGTGTAAGGGAGGTCCAGGTCACGGGAACGGCGGAGGTTTGTTGCCCGGCGGACCAAGTGTCTGTTCGGGTCACTGTGGGTAACAGCAAGGAGTCAGTCGACGAGGTGACCAACAGCGTTTCACGGCGACTCGAGTACATTATACAGTCTGTCAGGTGAAAACACACACAGCGGTTTACACTAGCACGAGCAGAGTAAACGTTTTGGGTGGAACAGTAAGATTAGCTTAACGTTAGCTAGCTGCTACATGTAGTGTCCATAGAGGCAACACTTCTGTCCACTGTGACTGTGTTATGCGTTTGTTGTGGTATATGGTATGGTTCTGTATCCATTCACCAAACAGTAGACTGGTGTTCTCACTGCAGTAGTCGTAGCCAGTGGTTGAAGTATTGGTAGCAGTGGTACTTCAGTGTAAACAATACAACTGTAAGTAGAACTCTCACACATGAAGTACTTATACAGAAGCAGTAGATACAAAAGGATTCATCAGTCTTCAGAAGAACCATTTGAGTATTATGTTTTCTGTTATCAATATTGTTGCATGTAAACAGCATTTCGATGTTGTATTTGGTTGTGGCAAAGCTAATTTTACTGTGGGGTTGTTTAATCTCTATCAATGCATCATATATCATGAGTTGATCATATATTTTGTATGTAAAGTACGTCAGAACAATAATAATAATAATAATCTGTCAATAATACGCAAAAATGCAAATCGTACAATATTTCCGTCTGAATTGTATGTGAAGTACAAGTTCCTCAAAATTGCAAAAGTGCTGTAATTGAGTAAATGTACTTTCCACCGCTGGTAGTACTACTACGGAGTAGAACCCTCCTCAATAATAGGTGTTCACTGAAGCATTACAGTGCCTCTAATGTATTTCTAGTAGTAGGAGTAGTAGTTACTCAAGTACTGGAGTAATAGTGGTAATTGATGAGCAAATTATTTAAGAATTGTTGCTGTTTAAGGGTAAATGGGCAGGCAGTCCAGTTAGTTTGTAGTATGGTGTATGCTCACTTCTTATTATGTGAAATATGTAATTATTTAATTTTGATGTGCAGTAGCTTATTTTTTTCACCTTGTTCTTTATTATTGCAATCAGTGTATGATAATATTTTATATTCTGCTTAGACAGCATGGTATCAGTGACAAGGACACCTCAGTGAGGAGGCTTCTCCACCGAGAGGCAGACCTATATCACATGGATGCAGAGGTGGAGTATTTGGACACTAAAGACTCAAATGTGTTATGATGCTGTGAATCTTTCATTGACCCTACAGAATAAATGTATGTTGAATTGTATCTGACAGTTAAGGAAAATACTTCCATAGGTCGTGGTCACTTTTTCAGATTTTGAGAAGATGGAGCGAGTATGTGGTGTCTTACTGGAAAAGCTGGACAAAAGTGTCTGTGTGGGGACACCACAGTTTTACCACAGTGCAGAATGTCTGAGTCAGCTGAGGTAGGAAAAAAGTTAGCACACCTTTCATCAGCACTGTGAAGTCATAGCTGGACAAACTTGTAACTAGTGTACATTTGTGTGTGTTTTAGGAGGCGAGTGTGTGTGTCAGCAGTTGAAAATGCTCAACAGAAGGCCTGCGAAGTCAGTCAGCTCCTTGGACAAAGTCTGGGACCCCCCCTACTGGTCAGAGAGGAGGAGACAAAGGAGTGGAGGAATGAAGATGAGGAGTATGGAAGCACAGGGCAGGGCGCAGCATCCCTGTCTCACCTCCCCTTTATACCCAAAATCACTGCCTCCTCACGGGTGTCTGTCTCCTTCAGTCTCAGAGACAGAAGCAGGAAAAAACTCTAAAGACATTTGTCATTGGCACATGAAACCAAAGAGCCGATTGTCACAATTTTGAACATTTTATTGCATAGCTGTGGCTGATCAAAAGTGCAGTTTTTCAAGTTTTTTTTTCTTTTTGGACCTTAGCTACCAGTCATGTCAAAACTATAAACATTTTCAAAGAAATTTTGTCATTTCCAGCATTCCCTCTTATCATGTAACATGCCAACCATTCAAGTCTGATTCAAATTCAACATTTTTAGACACATTATATTAAAATACTGTATATTTATACATCTCAAAGAAATAAAGTGTTCATTAGAGCTTGATTACAAGATTTCTTTCATATGTCCCAGTATTAACAGTCTCCAAATCCCCAACTGACACCCTCATATTGAGATCCAGCAAGGAGGGATTTGATGATCCTCTTGATCTGTACAAAGCTTGGCACTTATGACAACCACGTCAGTACTTGAACACAGAACACCACAGAAGGAAGAAAATGAAATTGTCAGTTCGATGGATCTTTCAGACCGAGCAGTCAGGCATCATCGATCTCATCTTCAGGAAAGAGCTCTCTAAGCCAGGGCTGCATGATGAACCGCTCCCCATTGAAATGAGTGAAGTAATTCTCCAAGGTGGGAATGTCCGGCTAGAAACATCCAACAGTGAGTCCAGGAGTGTGCGTGCGTGTGTGTGTGTGCGTGCGTGCGTGTGCGTGCGTGTTGCAATTATCCAGTACTTACCCTCATCCCAGTGATGCGCTCTAGTTGTGTCTGAGGCAGATATGCAACTAACAGAGAGGACGGTCCAGGCCCGCTGAACAGTACTTTGTAATGAGGCGTCTTCTCTGCTGTGATGCCCTACAACACCACACACACACACACCACACACACACACACACACACACACACAGTCCCAAAACTCTGTGAACTGGCTAATTTTTAGGTTCCCAACACAAACACACTGGCTGCATTGTGACACAGACCTTTAGTGAAGAGAGGAATAGTTGTGGCTGCTAACCTCAGAGCTGGAATACATCCTGTTAACCCACTCTTGAGGGGCTCGCAATTCAGAGTCCCAGCTCACCACCACCCCGACCATATGGCCCTTCCTCTCCATCACCACTTCTCCAACTCGTAGAAACACATACGGAGGACGGGGGGTGCGCACTGTCTTGGATGCTGCAGGAATGAGGAAAAATAAGAAAATCATGTGAGATAAATTTGACTTGCGCTGCTTTCAGTGAAACCACAGGATATGTACTATCTTACAGATGTGAGAACTTTTCACTTGAATATGAGCACTGAAAGAACACTCAATTTTCTTGCAGTCAGGGTGTCATTGCATCAGATTCAACTTTTTCATGGCGTATATGACCAAATAAGTTGTTTTTTTTTCTATTTACAACTGAAAAATACATGACATATTTCAATTAAGTTTCACCAATTCAGAATATTTGTGAGCGTTAAGACTTAAAGTTCATTTAATTTTGTACTTGCTGAAGGGTTTAAGTGAGGCATGTGACAAGGACAAAATAATCTAAACATAGAAATGGCAGAGTAATGGGAGATATGGGGACACAAGATTGAAATACAGATAAAAAATTTTTAAGTTAATTCCTGTCATTCTTAAAAATACTTGATATGTCAGGTGAAATTTCACTTTTGGACTACAAGATAAAACGCTCCATGTAATTAATCTCAGATTCTTTCTGAATATCTCTACTGACCCAAACTTTCCAAGTTTAGATATGTATATGGACACAAACCTCCAAAGAAGCCATGATCGTTGTCATAAAGCATGGTCTCTACAGGAGGCAACATGTCTGCCACTTCGTCTCCCTGTCCCAAGCCAACCAGAGACCTTTAGAAAGCAAAAATATTGTCAGTCTTGACATAAAAATGAGTTGTGGGTTTGTTTCTGTTCCTTTTCTGAAGTGTTCCTACAAGAACTTGAAACATTAGAGGTCACTTTTAAAGTGACAGAATTCAAGCTTGAAAGAAAAGCATTATGCAAATGAATACAGAGACTCCAAACCCTCACATGACATAAGACATCTGCTGATTTGCCCACTCCATCCATGCAGTGCCATTGAGGTATGTGCTCCACTCTCTCCAAATTCTGAGCAACCTGAAATACCAAGGTTAATCGTTAAATTGAGACAAAAACACACTGCACAATTCCTTAATGGACTTTCTTATCATCACTGTATTACTATAGGGACTCAGTAATGCTGAGGTTTGGTTACCCAGTGTAGAGTCTGAGGCATATGGATGGATTTTCCAGGACGTCCATCAATTTTCAAAACATTTTTCCCAACTCCATACATGTTTTTTCTTTCACATACAAAGTGGTGGCACCGTAAACTGACGCATATATGAAAAATAAATTTTCTTTTTTATGCATTTCTACCCCACCTACCGTGTAGTCGCGTGGTAGCGCTGCGCCACGCTGGAGCCGCTCCACCGGGAGATGAAGTACTGCGCGGGCACAGCGGAGAGCAGCAGCACGAGCTGCAGCACCGCAGGGCCTGTGAGCTGAGGCATGACTGCGCAGCTGTCACCTGGGGACGGAAACGCGCGTCAGGTGGATTTAGCAGGTGCGGGACCCGAAAGCTAAATCAGTCCAAAGTAGATGTGTAAGACATGTCTAAATGAGCCTTTAAGTTGCGGTACAGCGCTCCGTCCATTGTGAACGACACTTCTGGACAATACGTCGTTATTAGTTTTTTTTATTGACATGCTTAATGTTAATATTGTTCAACCTCACGTTATGGGAAGTTAAACCCTGTTAAACGACAAATGCCACAACAGAAAGTTAAAGGAAATGCAAGTTGAACAAAACAATTGTCAAAGCGCATGAGTAATTATGATTCTTACCTCGTATTAAAATCCAAAGTATTTCCTGCAACTATCTGCCACACATTGCGTCTGAGGGAGTCTGTTTGCGCCTGGAAACCAGAACAAAGTCAGACGGTTTCACTTCTGTTGTATTTACATAAACCACTCTTTCGTCCATGCCGCTGCCACCTGTGTATTTACATTTTTTGTCAAAATTGCCAAACTGGTAGTCTACCCAATCACTGAAGCCCACGGATGAACCGGCGGACCTTTAGCGGCTCGCCACGTCAGGAAAGAGCCGAGCCTGCGAGCTCCGGGCGGGGAAGTTGTTTTGACGCAGTTACGCTTTGGCGACACGAGGTGGGAGAGTTGCTCATTAATGCAACATTGCTATAATGTGTGAGTCGTCTTATTTTTAACAGGTTGTATTTTAGTACTACAGTATTTTATTTACTTTAGCAAGCAAAGCAAATAATTGCAAAAAGTGCTTTTATTAAAAAACAAAAACAAATTAAACCTTTAATTTGATTTTTTTTTTTTTAAACTGTCAACAACTTGTTGCTTTGAAATTACCCAAAAATGAACAGGAAGTAAAAGTGGATATGGAAACACAACTGTTTATTTACTTAAAATATTGGTATTAACTAACAGGACAGCAGTACTCCCCTACACATACATTCTAGCTTTATGCTTCTTTTTTGCATTAATTCTTTTATATATAAAAAGTATCCAAACTAACAAAGACATCCTCTTCAATCAGTTCACGTGACCCCTTTCCCCTTCCCTTCCCGCTCTGTTCTTTCCCCCATCCCACCTCCCATTAAAACTTAAAAACATCCCAAAATGCTTCCCAGTGGCTCACATGCAGCCACTTCACACACACATTGTGACCTTTAACCTCTGACTTCCAATGCTGTGATGCCTGGTCAGAGGCCACAAACAGCACAACTCTGCCACACATTAGCACAGGCCTGTGGTAAATGAATGCATGTGTCCTTTAGCATCAAAATGCAGCACGGGTCTCGTAAAGTAAGAGGGCTGATCTGATCTGCTGAGTCAAGGTGGAAAGCACTGATAGCTAAAACTCGTGAGGTCCACTCTGTGAAGCACTACAGACAGATGTGACTGATGTGTGTTTGAAAAGATAAGAATAAATTAATGTACCAATTCTGGATTATGACCAGTAACTTGCTTTTAAGGCCCCTTTGAAATGATTAGAGGTTGTATATTATCACTAACATGGTTAATGTAACCTGACCAGCAAAACTCAATCAGCTCTTTTACTTCGACAGATTTGAAAAAGACTGTTGATTAAAAGGAGGTGGTAGCAGACTAAACAAGTCTGATGTCCACTTTCAACCGATAAATGCATTCCTCCTATTAATTGGGAATACAATGGCTCCTATATGTAGCAGGCCAAAGATGCCGTTGGGAAAAAAATCATCCCTAATTCAAAATGGCTAGATCCTTGTCAATATCCTGCAAACATTTTGGATTCTCAAGCATTGTGTGTTTTTAGCTGGCTCGTGTAAACATGTTTAAAAGTGAGCTCGTATTTCAGGTTTGAGAAATCTGGGTGTAAAATTTTGCTTCCAGAATCTGTGCATATATGTAAATATGATTATTGGTGAATGCAATAGAAAAAAATCCAGAACCTTAATGTGCCTATGAAGAGTTTATAGATCAATTTTATGAATGAAAGTCATAAACGAACACTTACAACCAACAAAATTGCTGCCCACAAAATGAATACATTTATGGGCAAAAATCAATAACTTCCTATTTTGAACAAAAGAACCCCAATAATAAGATTTACTTTGATGTCAACAGTCACTTATGCAACTCAGTTTGGGATAAAACTCTTCATATACACAATATAAACTAAGCATTTGTGAAAGTGACAGAAAGAATTGTAAATTGTGTCCTCAGAAAACTGCAGCAGAGTATGACACCTTTCCAACAGTATGACTCCACAGATCTGGCCACTGAAACACTGTCCTATATGGCAGGGACACAGACAGAAAACATTTGACACATTATATGTGACAGAGTTCAACACACTCACTGTGGAGACTGTAAAACTAAGCTAAAATAAACACATTCAAAAGCCATGTCCTAAAACTTCAGTGCCCAAAGACAGAATTTGGCATTGAGTTATCCTTAACAGAAAAACAAGGAAAACAAAAACAATGATAAGCAGATGAGATATATGTCGATTAATATGTGACAAGGAAGACCTATGAAATGAATCAGGTGTATATAGATGCTACCATTCAGTTCTCCCCAGTCAACCCCACAAGTGTCAGATTTTGGCATTCACTTGCTCTGTGCTGGGGTAAAAAAAAAAAAAACAGAAATATGACAAAAGTGGAGACCGCCATCTTTTATAAATTCAGTCCTCTAGGTGTGTGTGTACAGAGAGAGAGAGTGACATAATGTTTGTCTCCTGTCAGATTTGTAATTTTTCTGTCCTCTCTCTCTTTCCAAAGCCTTCCATATAAGCCTGTCAGGTCCAGTCCAGTCCCCGGAGTCCAGTTCTCTGAACCCAGCGATAAGCGGAACCAGGAAGTCCAAAAAAACAAAATAAAAGGCCCCAAAAGGAGAAACTGAGGATATTATGCCAGAGTAGCAAAGGCACACAATCAGAAAGATGAATGTAGACTAGTCTCTCTCTTTCTCTCTCTCTCTCTCTCTTCGCTTAGCGTCCAAATTCTGTCCGAACCAGTTTGATCTGGCTCCATCCTGTTTACTTCAGGCATGAGAAAGTGCTAGAACATGCGAGACAGAATTGTGTGTGTGTAGGTGGGTGTGCGGGCGTGTGTGCGTGTGCGCATGTGTATGGTCACCATAGAAACATATCAACATTTAAAAAGTTCATTTTTATATGTTAACAATTTTAAAATACACAGGGTTACTCCCTACGACTGCATTGATAACCGGTCTGTGGTAAGTGCATCTCAAAGCTAGTCACCCAAAGCTCCACTCGCTGTACCTTAGGTATAAACTGACGATAGGTTGGTTATAGGATAATATATTGACATGAATAATGGTATGCTTACAACAACAGTAAATCTTTTTTTCAACTGCTATAAATACATTTCTTTGAGAGGTTTCACAACGATCAAACTGTATGCCACTGTTTGTACGCTGAAAGTGAACGACACGCTCTATTGTGTTGTAAAAACACACACGCTCCTTCAGTTACACACACTCTCATAGTCACAACATGATTTCGTACACATACAGGCACATGTACTTTTCAGGGCAGAGGCCAAGCACGCTTATACACACATGCACGCACACACACACACGCCAAAGACATAAAGGCACAAGGTATTGCTAATGTTGAGGACGCATTGAAACATGATCTATCTAAACATATAAATGACCCCTTTCACCCGACAGCTTCTAACAAAAAAAAAAAGAAAAAAAGATGCTTCCTCTTTCTAATTAACATGCAAAACAAGACCACACACACACACACACACCCACACACTCCTACGCACATCAATAGTAAACAAACCCCACTGATCTACAGTACCTACATTAGGTACACCATTTGGTATTTTAGCGCAGACAGACACGCTCAGGTCAGCCAATGTGTAAGACTTCCAAAACAGAGAGCCGATCATTACGTACAAATCTTAGAAAAAGCTAAGAGAGGGTTGTATAAAAAAAGAACAGGAACAATGAAGAGAGGGGCAAAAGATGTTGTCAGGCCAGCGGTCTGTAGTCCATCACAGACCTAATAATTTCAGCTCAGTGGGTGTCTTTGACCAACCCAGCAGAGGCATTTGAAAAGTTCAGAAATAGTAAGAGCAAGATAAGATGCATCCAGCTCTCATTGTGACTTTTTCAAGTACTAAAACTCTGTTCAACTACTGTTTTGCCCAGTCTGACACCAACAATGTTTAAGGTCAGACAAGGGTGAAGAGTGGTTCAATGGACAAGAGCAAGTCACAAGACCACCGACGCAGGAGTCAGAAAGCGTCCATCGGATCCAACATGGACCAATAATGTAAGAGGAGTTGGAACGAATGAACATGCGTTGTCTGAAAGCCACCCGTTGCCGTAGTGATGTGCTTACTGGGCTGAGAGGAAGGAGGGTTGGACAGGTAACTGCGCTGTTGTGACTCTCCATAGCCACAGCTTCAAATAGCAGCAGATGAACTGGCAGCTACCCAGATGCACACACACATCCACGCACACAAATGCATATAAGCACGACTTCCTCAACCCCCTACTCCTCCAACGCATAAATTAAGAAATCTTAATCTCTCAAGATTTCTTTTCTGCCAGGGCAGTCAGCCTCCTCTTCCTCACATCCTGCGTTTCTGTTCTGTTACCAGCCTATAAGGTTGGCTTTGGCCTTTTCTGTCAGCTTGCGGACACGCCCCTTAGAGGAGGTGCCAAAGGTGATTGATGAGTCCTCAAACAGCAGCTGCCTCTGCTCCTCCTCAGAGTCCTCTTCCATGTACCAGGCTGACCGTCGCCCCTGGTTACGTGTGCGCATGGACCCTCCTGCACCGTCCCCTGCCTCCTCCTTTGGAGACTCCTTGCGATTGGATCGTTGAGGAGCAGTCTGTGGAGGAGGGGTGACCTCTTCATTGCCTCTCCTGCTGCTCCTCCTCAGCGGCGAGGGCTCAGGTGACTCAGCAGGAGGGGTGGATTCATCAGTTCTTACCACTCGTGGCCGGCCACGGCGTCTAGGCGTCAATGCCACGCCAGAGTCCGACATCACAGATGTTTCCTGCGCAGAAGATGTCCCACCTTCGTCGCCTGTGGATTGGTCGAGGTCATCATCAGGGGTGGAGCTCCTGCGGTTACTGCTCCTTCTCATCTCCTCCAGTTCCTGCTTGCTCTTCCTGCCTCTTTTCTTGCCAGGAGGGCGACCCCGGGGTCTGGAAGGGCTCGCCGGAGTCGTGACTTCCGGAGGACTCACTGGTGGGTCCGTTTTGGATTTCCGCCCTCGTCTCCCCACGCCCAGGGTCATATGACTACTGTGGCCATTCAGGTGGACAGTGCTCTGAGATGAAGGGCTGACCGGAGAGCCTGAGAGGGAGGCAATTTATTCAAATGACAAAATATCAGTAGCAGGCAGGTGACATTAAATACTTAATTTACACCATTAACCATAAACATAAGCATCACAGCTAAATGACACCATCTCTTACCAGGGGTGTGTCGTACAGGAGTCCTGAGTTTC